GTATAATCTAAACCAAATCCCTTCTGAATACACAGTAGAAGTGAAGAACAGATTTAATGAACTAGATTTGGTGAGCAGAGTGCCTGAGGAACTATGGATGGAGGCTCATAACATTGTACAGGAGGCAGCAACAAAAAACATGCCAAAAAAAGGAAATGCAAGAAAGCAAAGTGGCTGTTCAGCGAGGCCTTACAAATAGCAGAGAAGAGAAGGGGAACAAAATGCAAGGGAGATAGGGAAAGTTACAGAAAATGGAATGCAGATACACAGATGATACTACTCTGATGGCAGAAAGTGAGGAGGAATTAAGGAACCTCTTAATGAGGGTGAAAGAGGAGAACGCCAAAGATGGTCTGAAGTTCAACATAAAAAAAACTAAAATCAAAGCCACTGGTCCTGTCACCTCCTGGCAAATAGAAGGGGATGATGTGGAGGCAGTAACAGACTTTACTTTTTGGGCTCCATGATCACTGCAGATGGTGACAGCAGCCACAAAATTAAAAGATGCCTGTTTCTTGGGAGAAAAGCAATGACAAACCTAGACAGCATCTTTAAAAGCAGAGACGTCAGCTTGCCAACAAAGGTCCGCATAGTCAAAGCTATGGTTTTTCCAGTAGTGATGTATGGAAATGAAAGCTGCACCATAAAAAGGGCTGACCACCTAAGAATTGATGCTTTTGAATTGTGGTGCTGGAGGAGACTCTTGAGAGTTCCCTGGACTGCAAGGAGAACAAACCTATCCTTTCTAAAGGAAATCAACCCTGAGTGCTCACTGGAAGGACAGATCCTGAAGCTGAGGCTCCAATACTTTGGCCACCTCATGAGAAGAGAAATCTCCCAGGAAAAGACCCTGATGGTGGGAAAGTATGAGGGCAAGAAGAGAAGGGGATGACAGAGGACGAGATGGCTGGACAGTGTCATAGAAGCTGCCAAAGTGATTATGACCAAACTACGGAAGGCAGTGGAAGAAAGGAAGGCCTGGCATGCTCTGGTCCACGGGATCACGAAGAGTCAGACACAACTTACTGACTAAACAACAAACAGAATTTTTAAAAAAAAAGTATTGGTGTGTTGCTAGTTTTTCCTCCCACACACACACACACGTTATTTATATTTGTAAACCATCCTTAGAACTAATGTGGAAGGACTATACAGAGAAATTCCCGCAGGAGCAGCAAATAAATAAATTCATTTAATGTACCTAAATCAGAAACAGTTGTCTTTACACTGAGCTATCTTTTGCCTTCATTCCAGATGGTGGCTACTGGAATCTGCCGCACAGATGACCATATAGTGAGTGGCTCAATAAAGACGAACTTTCCCGTTATTCCTGGTCATGAAGGAGCCGGTATTGTGGAGAGTGTTGGGGAAGGTGTTACCAGTTTGAAGCCAGGTATGACAAAGTCCACAGTGGCATCAGGGAATAGCAACCCTCAACCTGTCAGCAATGGTAAAATGTAACTAGGATGCCACCAAACTCAGGTAGGATAGAGTTCGTTTGAGGTACAAAACTAAAGGTTGTTTTGAGGAGCAAATCATAGAATCATAGAGTAATCGAGTTGGAAGAGGCCTTCAAGGCCATCAAGTCCAACCTCCTGGTCAATGCAGGAACACAAATCAAAGGATATGTGCCAGGTGGCTTTCCAATTTTCTCTTGAACACCACCAGTGTATTCTCTCATGGCAAAAACAACAAGAAATGTTGTGGCATTTTAAGGAAGAATAAGGTTTATTGGGAGGGCATGAACTTTTGTGAACTGCAGCCCAGTTTTTAAAACGCAAAATCGAAAAACTCAATGGGATAGATAAAATATTTATCATGGCAGCATGTTTCAGATCTTTTCATACCTTAATTTAAAAAAAAGCCTAATCAAATGTCATCACAGTTACTGCAGAATCAGAGGATGTGTCCAGTGTACCATGCTTAGGTCAAGTATTAATGGGTGAGTTTCAATTGTTGAGACCTGAGGATGTGGACAGGGTGCTTGGATCTGTCCGTCCTACTACCGCTCCACTTGATCCTTGCCCATCCTGGCTAATTGAAAGATCTGCCAGGGGGGTTCGCACCTGGGTCCAGGAGGCCGTGAACCCCTCTTTGAGAGAGGGAGTGGTCCCTACCACCTTGAAAGAGGCGGTAATTCGCCCACTCCTTAAAAAGCCTAACCTGGGCCCAAGGCTGGTGGTTAACTACCGACCAGTAGCGAACCTCCCTTATTTGGGCAAAGTGTTGGAGCGGGTTGTGGCTGGGCAACTCCAGGCGCTGATGGATGAAACGGATTTTCTGGATCCATTTCAATCGGGTTTCAGGCCGGGTTTTGGTACAGAGACTGCCTTGGTCGCCCTGTACGATGACCTTT